GGTTAATGAATAATCATTTGCCATTTTGAATGTAATTATCAAGTAATAAATTACAATTACTGGGACGTAATTGTTACTACAAGGCACATAATCCGATACTTATTAAAGTTGTGGAATCTTTCAACAAATTTAAATCCGAATTTATTCATTATAATATTTGTAATTAGACTATGAATTCTTATGCCTTTATGAGAATTTTACCCCTCTATGTGAAATTTTAACATGAGAAGTTGAACGCAATGCTCATATGCAATGTGAAAGAGTACATAAAATATCAAAAGTACAGCAACTTCTACAATACAATTTTTGATAGGTAGAATAAGTTTTTACTGTGATTTTTAGCTTTCAATTATCTATATATTCTCGAAAATATGAACTTCCAATCTATCCATTAACACTTTAAGGACTCACTGAAAATCCTGAAAAATTATCGTGTCAAAAAGAAACAAATTTTTTTTATTTTATTATTCTAAGTTTGTGACAAAATACTATTGTCGAAAAAAGCTTCTGTTTTTGCATACAAAAAAATTATTCATATAATATTACGAAAGTACGGACTTTAAATGGTTGTAAAAGTGAAAAAATCCCTACTTTAAAAATATTACTCCTAAATTATTATTTTCTTACTTTTTTTTTTCATTTTGAGTGCTACTTAATTAATTACTGAATAATACTCAATCTCATTCAATAATCATTATCAAATAATGAACTTTTTAATTTGTTATTAATATCAATGTTAATTTGCTATTAATAAATCACGTAATTTTTAATTATAATATATTATTTGCAAAATCGACTAAAATAATAACTAAAATTATTTGCGATATAGGCTACAAAATAGGGTTCATGGCGAGCAAATTATGACGCACTAGTGCTGAACCGATACTAATTTTACGGCCATTAAGAGACACACTGTTAATGTTACAAAAAACGTGGCGTGTCGTGCAAGGTAAAATAAATACGCTATTTGGAGCGAGGCATTTATTTATGACATAGGCATAAGTTTACATATGAACTCGGTTTCCCCGTTTTCCTTTTTTTTTTTTTTT